GCCGCCGCCGCCGGAAGTGGGGCAGGGCGTGGACCGGAAGTGGGACGGGAAGCGGACCGGAAGTGGGGCAGGGCACCGGCTGAGGCTGCCCGGCCGCCATGTTGGGTGCGGGCAGGACGGCGGCCCGCGAGGGCCCCACCCAGCAGCACCGGGGCTCCGCGTCCCCTCCCGCCATCCCCGCCTCCCCTCAAGCCGCGGGCCTGGCCGCCTCCCGCTGCTCAGGACCACCCCCCTGCCCCTCCCGCCTCCACCGGGGACGGCGGCGCTGACCTTGCAGCGGGTCAGCCCTGCCCGTTTCTCCGGATTAGCGCGGGCGCGGCCTAAGCCTATTTCCTCCCACCGCCCCCGGCGATGGCCCAGCATGGAGGACGGCGGCCCTGAGCGTCGCGGCGGGGAGCCCTGCCTGCAGGTGAGGCCCCGAACGGACGAGGAGACCCCCGGGCTCAGGCCGCTCACCGGGGACACCGGCTGGGCCTTGGGCCCGGTGCCGCCGGGCGACAGCGCCGGGCCCAAGGCCGCTCTCGGCGTCTCCTTGACAACGGCCCAATGGGGGCGTGGCCTAACTGGGAGGCGTGTCCCCGGCGGGGCGACTCCGCGGTTGCCAGCAGCGAAGGGCGGGGTCCGCTTCCCCCGGCCCACGCCTCCCTCCCGCTAGCCCCGCCCCCTTCCCTGCTAGCCCGGCCCCCTCGCCGATAGCCCCGCCCCAGCCCCCTCCCGGGGCCGGTTTGCGGGGGTCCTGACCCGTCCGCGGACCCTCGTAGGTGGGTGAAGGCGATGGCGCCGGTCTGAGCGGCCTCATCTTCCTCCTCCGGACGGCCCGCCCGCCCCTGCCCCCCCCGGGGGATGGGGCTGCCCGGGGGGAACCCGCCGAGACAGGTGAGGGGCTGGCCCAGCTCTGGGGGGGCGGACTACAGAGCCCGGCCGTGGGACCTTCTCCGGTACGGGCCCGGGGGGGCTAATCCCCCCCATCGCCCATGGACCCGTGGCAACAGGGGGGCTGGAGGGGAAACCCTGATGAGGTACAGCCTCCTGAGAGGGGTGGGCAGCTGCAGGGGGCAGGACAGGGGACAAACGCTGCACAGTTAACGTGGAATTAACGTGGAATTAACGTCTAACACGTCCAGAAGTGTCGCTGGGACCTGGCAGCCCGCTGGGACAGGTCCTGTGCCAGGAGGGGCTGGGGGGGTCTCAGAACCAGCGCTGGCAGGGCCGGGGTGGCGGCAGAGCAGCGTGGCTGTCCTGCCGTCCCCTCTGGGTACTGATGCAGAGCCGGGGTGGCCGTGGGAAGGGGCTGCCCCCCCACCTTGCCCCACACCCAGGGTCCCCGTCCCTGCAGGCAGCAGCTCCCTGGGGGGCCTGGCCCGCTCCCTGCAGAAGGCAGAGGCCATGCTGCGCAGCTGCGTCAGCCCCGGCCTGCGGCGCCTGCTGCCCCCGCGGCCCCGCCAGCGCGGCTATGACGGCAGCGAGGATGAAGAGGAGGAAGAGGAGGAAGAAACGCTGGCCCTCCTGGCCCCGCTGGAGCAGAGCTTCCAGGGGCTGCGCCGCTGCCTTTGTGTCTGGGAGGACCCCCGCACCGAGACCTTCCGGGGCCACGTGCGGCCCCAGCTCGGCGACAGCAGCGCCGCCTTCTCCTACCACCCCATCCACCCGCGTGTGGCCGAGCGTGGCGCCAGCCTTCACGCCCTGCTGCAGCACCGCCACCACCTCCGCCTCGCCCGCGACTACAGCCGCCGGCTGAAGGCCGCCTCCGACTTTCTCCGCCAGCTCCTGGCACTGGTGGAGCAGCCGGAGGCACCGACGGGGGAGCTGGGGGCCGCCTGGCCACTGCGGGAGCTCTGCCAGGAGCTGCGGATGCACGCCGGCCACTGGAGCGGGCTGCGGCGGCGGATGCGCAGCGACCCGTGGCTGCGGCCGCTGCTGCTGCACAGGCACGAGTCGGTGGCACACATGCAACGGGTGCTGCTGCTGCTGGCGCTGCATGCTGCACGGCTGGCCGAGCGCCACACCGAGGCGCGGCTGCGGGGGCTGGCGCTGGCCAGCCCCACTGCCGCCCCCTCCCCGGCACTGCTCTCCGACCTCTTCCAGGGCCTGGAGATCTACAACCAGGTGGTGGGCGACCTGGCCCTGGAGCTGGGCACTGCCGGTTGCCTGCCTGCTGGTGTTGCTGGCTGCCACGGGGTCGCGGGGGACCGCTCCCATGCCTTCCCCGCAGCCAGGGTGCTGGGGATACTGGCGGCTGAGCGGGGCCGGCTGGTGGCCGAGCGGCTCCAGCCCCTCCTGCAGCTGTGGGACGGTGGCGGCGGAGCAGAACATGTCTGCTGGGAGGATGCCACGGTGCCTTGGCCCCTGGAGTGCAGCACCACAGCGGCAGCGGACATGGCACCCTCTGGACGGGAGGAGCTGCCGGGCCTCGCTGGGGAGCTGAAGGCACTGTGCAGGGAGGACGAACAGCTGATGGGCCTCGTCCTGGGTGGCTTGGTGGCCTCCGCCGACAGCCTCTGGCACCACGTCCTCCGCGGGCCCAAGCAGGAGAAGCTGGCGGCAGCAAGCCCTGAGCCCCTGGAACTGCCGGTGTCCAGCCCAGGCACGGCTGCTGGGCCAAGCTCTGCCGGCTGGAAGTCGGTGCGGTGGCTGGACGCCTCCCGCACGCCAGCGGCTGAGGCCCTGCATGCCCAGTACCGCCCACTCTTCTGGGGGGCTGCCAGTGCCGCGCTGGGTCACCGCCTGGGACTGCCACACTGCGGGGCTGGCAGGACTGTGGCCACTGCGAGGGAGCTGAGCCGCACTCTCGCCCAGGGTAGGTGGGGGCCAGAGCGGTGGGGCAGTGGGGGCGAGGAGTAGCTCCCCAGTATCCCTCCAGTGCCACCACGGGGTGCACTGGCCCTCACGCCCCGTTCCCCTGCAGCCCATGTCCCCCAGGAGTGCGAGGAGGAGCTGGGACGGCTCTGCCTGCGCCTGCTCTGCTGGGGCGTCCTCTGGAGCTGGGAGAGAGGTACGGAGTGCAGGGTGGGGGGGTACGGGCAGGAGGGTGGCAGGGGGCTGCTGACTGGTGC